TCCAAATATTCTGACTTCCCCAACTCTACCCCTCTTCTAAATAAGGCCTTCACACTCTAGATCGAAACGAATCCCTTCTCCAAATCTCTTGACTTCTCCATGCTACTCCTCTTTTAGACAAGGCCTTCACATTTCTAGATTTTGAGGTAATAACGAAGTATAAAAGATAAATTTATGTATTCATACTCTGTTTATATTTTGGTTGGGCTCTCTACCCTTAAACTAAGACTTTTAGTACGTCGTAAAAGATATAATTAAAGGGTTTTTTTTTTGTTTTTTATTTTTATTTTTTTTTTTTATTTTTTTTTTTTGTGCAAAAGAGTGGCAAGTCCCCGGGAAAAATAAAACAAAATTACTAAGGAACAACCCGTGGCCAAGCCACTCCCACTACATCCTCATGCAATATATGCTCTAATGCTAAGGGGTCTGTGACTCTCCTTGATTAGCTAGTCAATCAGCACCTCTTTTTTCCTCCATAAATATGATGTACCTCCACTCTCCAATTGGCATCTTCTAGCATCCTCTTGCATCTAATGAGTATGTGCACACTTTCACCATTACAATCAGCATCTCTGTTTAGAGCTTGGACTAATGCCTCACTGTCAAGCTGCACTTGAATCCTAGTAGCTTGCATTCTGATAGCGAGATTTAAGCCATACTCCAGTGCTTTAGCTTCAGCCATAAAGGCATTGCATACCCCAATTTTAATAGAGAAAGCATATGCAAGTTTACCTGCATGGTCTCGAATAAGACCACTACCCCCTGCAGGCCCAGGTGCACCCTTTGCCGCACCATCAGTATTTAGTGCAAGCCAACCATGGGGAGGAGCCAGCCAACCATGGTATCTGATGATAGATACATAATGTAAAAGTATTATCCCCCAACAAAAAAACTCCATTTTATTAACTATTTACAAATTGGTTTTGGCTAGTTTTAATGAACACTAATGAGCTTAATTTTATGAACACTACGAAGTTTTAAATACTTCGATTAAGGAAAAGTATTGTGTGAATAAGACTCACGGTGAGTCAACCCACATAATACTTTCTCTACCGTCGAATTTCTAGTTCATTCTTGCCGCTCTTTGTCTTCACTCCATTCGTGCTCATTCCTCAACCATTCACTCCTTGCTTCTATATTTCCCGACCATTCACTTTCTCGTCTTCTAGACTGCGTTTGCCGAACCACCATACGTGAGTTCAAATTGCTACGTGAGTTCAAACTGTCGAATATGTAAGTGCTAGCTTCTGCTGAATTGCTACGTGAGTTCAAATTTCGATGGAAATTCAGAGACGAGATCTCCTTAGGGCGCAGAGATCCAGGTTTGGCGGGTGGTGGGGTGAGAATGAAAACCATGCTCGCCATAGGGTGATGGATGTTTAGCCATACCCGCCTCGCCTCACACCTTTATATACTTGTATATTTTTCTCAAAACAAAAATAAGAAAAATACAATTAATATCATTAAGAAATTACACCACTATGCGTTTTTCTTATATGACCCTGAGTTTTACGTTACTATATTGGAAGTTGAGGAGAACGAAGCCTTCCTTATATGGGGGTTAGTTGATACCTCAACCTAGTAGAGGCCTTTTGGGTAGGACTTCTTGTCATGCACCAAAGCAAATCCTTGCGGGTTAGGGCTCAGAGAGGACAATATATACTAACGGACTCATGTTGACCTGAGGTGTTACAATTAGAGACGTAAAAAATTCATTTGCTACAACAAATAAGAAATGGGATAGTAGTCGTATTGAGACGATTCAAACAAGACCCTATATGACTATATATGTTTTGTAATACCCCGTATTTTTATATGTATAATAATTTAAAGTATTATTTGATGATGTATCTAAATAATTTGAAATGAATTATTTATGGTATTATAATAATTTAGAAAGGTTTATTTCAATTAAAAACCCATTTCTATTTATTTATTTGGTTTAGGAAATATTTTATTTCATTATTTAGAAACTTTGGGGCATATTTAATTTATAAGGAATTTTTAAAGTAAATGGAGTTTTAAAGAAAGTCAAATACCAAGTTGAATGGGAATGGGAATCATTAAGGGTAAAAAGGAAAATCAAGTTAGGAGAGTTTTGAGAGAGGGTATAAATACCCACCTTATGAGCAAATTAGACTTTGCCCAAGGTGGAGAATACCCAAAGGTAAACTCTCTTTCTCTCCCCTCTTATTTTCTTTCCCCTTAATTTTCTCCCCTCCCCTCACTCACGACACACACACACACACCCACCGTGAGTGGCCGGCTGCCACCACCACCACCGGCCGACCACCACCAGCACACGCCGCCAGCAGCAACCGGTGAGAGGCGGCGGCGGCCGTCCTCACTCCCTCCTTGTGTGCATGCGTGGGTTCAAGGAAAAAAAAATTGTTTCAATTTTTAATTAGCTTTGATTAATTATTGTTGTGGGTATTGTGTATGATTTTACAGTGTTTTAATGATGTTTAATTCACATAATTTTCAGATTTGGTTTTTATTTGAAAAGGCCCCAAATTGATAAACCCTAGGTTTCTAAATTGATGTTTATTGATGGAATTTAATGGAGGTTGATTAAAACTATTGAAAGTAATATTTTTAAACTAAATTACGGCAAGTTTAGAGTTTTTATAATGCTGAAAATTTTATGTAGAGGCTAGAATAAAGTTTTCTTAAGGGATCTCAATTACCCATTAATTGGAAATAAAAGTAGATGGTTTTAATTAATTTTCAGCATGTTTTAAAAGTTTTAAAAGTGTTTTAAAGAGTGTATATATTGTTGGAAATTTATATGAATAGATATTAATGTCTCTTGAAATTGTGGGTTGTAGGAGACTTCCAAGTGAGTGATTTCGTGTAATCGTGACGATTTTGAGATCATATTCGAGATACGTACGCATACTCGATATTATTTAAGTGTGTAGAAGCATGCTAGGATTTATTTTAATGATTCTAAATTAGTATCATGCTAGGAATTGGTTGGAATTGGTGAATTGAATTGAATTGATTGAGTTGGAATGATTTTTGGTGAAATATTGGTGAAGCATGATTGATTGAAATAATTATTTATTGGAATTGATGATGTTGGAATATTGCTATTGAACCACACTTTTATTGTTGGCATGCTTGAAGATTCATTTGATTAAACTAAATGTTTAATTTAGTTTGCAATATAAAAAGGGAATTTTATTATGGTTCATATAATTTTTATTGATGCTATAGGCATGGGAATTGAGCTAGTAAGTGTTTTAGTACACCGGAAATAAAGGAAATGCGGTGCCTAAGTGCACTTAAAGTGTTTTAAACACCGAGAGATATGATTTGCCGTACATTATGCGCTTTAGGTGTTATTTAACGTCGAGGTAGTTTAAAAAGGATTCAACATTTAATCATTTATGATCACTAATAATTCAAGAATTAAATTGGAATGTTTTATTACTTGAATGATTTATGTTAATTGATTGTGTTGTAGATTCAGAGTAATCACCAAGTCTAAAATATGTAAATAACGTAAAGTGAAAGAGATTGCGCACCAAAACTCTTGGAACCTATATACCTCGAGTATGAACATATGGGGGGAGTTATGTGACTTTATATTTGATCATAACTTCTACTGGGAGTACAGGACGTTGTATTTTCCTTTTTATTTTATGCGCAGGACGTCCAGTCACCTCATGTGACATTTTTGCCTACTCGGTTAGCTCCCGGTGTAGTTTACCTCAATTTATTTGGGGCATGGATTTGGTGGGAAACTCGTTCGATGCGTAATCAAACTAAATAAGCAATTTAATTATTCATTGATTGTGTTGTATGTTGTGTGCTTGAAAAACAGGTGCAACAAGGTAAGTTGTGTGATGCTAGGATGAAAGCATGTTAGTGTGATTAGTTTACGCTTATGACTCGACATTGCTAATTGTGTATTTGTATGTTTGTTTGGCTTTGTCTTTATCTTGGCCTTACAACAACCCATTTCTAATGGCGAGTAGTGGGGACAAAGTAAAGAAAAACTTTTCAGGTGATGAAGCATATTCATGATGGGCATGAGTGAAAAGAAAATCTTGTTTAGTTCCTATAAGGATATAATGTGTTTATTTGCTTTGATTATTATATATATTTGCTTGTGAGACTAACGTAATGCTTTTAAGTATTTGTTTGGTTTTAAAGGGCCTACAATAGTTCCAAATTGTAGGTTAACTTTGTTTGACTTTACTTTCGTTTGGTTGACTTTTGAAGTTGGTTTTATTTAGAATTGTTATTAAAACGAGCCTTCCACTGATAATTGCCTTAGCCTTTTTCACGGTGACAGTAATGTCTTACAATTTCTTAATTCGTATTTTAAAAAGGGCAAAACAGGTATTTTAAAGGAAAAAAATTTCTAGGGTATTACATATTTTGCCGTAATTGAAAATCACAAAAGCGAACTAGTCAAAGTGTGTTTTGTAAATTGTGTCAAAAGTTAAAGCATGTCAACTAAAAAACAAAGGAATTATATCATATAAATTACAAGAGATAAAAAACTAAAAACTATTGCGATCTCGAACAGATCCTAAACTTCCAAAAATTAACTTGCATGAGCACAAGCACAATGATTTAGTGTGACTCAAAATCCAAACTAAGACCTAATTCGATTTGAGCTGACTAAACTCGACCTAATGACCTGAATTGACACCTAGTAACAAATTAACAACACATATGTTGCATTGGTTAAAAAATGGAGCCCCGATTTATCATGTTGATAAACTAAATTAGTTTATCAAGTGGCAAATTTGTAAATAATCAACAAAAATGTCCAATCAACATGGCATTTTCGTAATTATATCAACAATTGTGAATAATCAACAAGTGTTCAAAAATAGAGAAAGTATTTTCTAAAGGGGTTTTAAAATGAAGTGTCGTAATAAATCGCGAAAGACGGAAAGCCAAAGCCCATTGAGAGAGCAATGACAATGCAAAAACCATAACAGCCCAAATTAAGAAAAATGAAGAAAAACCCAAAACACAAAAACCCTACTCACTATATATTTGTCTCTGCAGCTCCATTAGGGTTTACTCGAGCTCAAAATTTCTGCAGATCCTTTGTGTGTTCTTCATCTCTCTCCTCAATTCTTTCAGCACTTCCATTAGAGGAAGAAGATGAAGGTTGTCGCTGCTTACTTGCTTGCCTGTTTGGGAGGAAATGACGCTCCTTCTGCCGCTGATTTGAAGGCTATCTTCAACTCAGGTACTTTCTTCGATCGTATTATACTGCTAGTTATGATTGTTAGTGCATTTGCCAAGAATTTGTGCCATAATTTTAGTAACTTGATGTATAAATGTTGAACAAATTATTGGGTTTGCAACATTCTATGGATTTATTTCAGTTTGATTGATTTTTCCCTCTAATTAGGAAAATGTGATTTTAATTTTTGTTGAATTTGAAGATTTGGATTGTCTAATGATTGTGGCCATTGATTCTGGTGTTGGTGTCTGAATGATCAGGATCAATGTGTTTGATATTACCTAGGATTGTCTGTAGTTTCTCATATTTGGTTGGGATATAAAATTTATAAATTGTATGAACGGGTAGATTCCATCTGTTTTAGGTCACTGGATTATTACTTCTTTTCGTCATTGGGTTTATTGTTTGTTTATGATTGGAGAATATGACAACAATAATGCAATAAATTGAGAATGACGAACAATTTTTTTGGGATGAAATGATGATGAATCTTATTGACTTTATTGCCCGTGTTTCTAACTTTGAACTGATCAATAGAGAAAGGCAAGTATTTTACAGAATGGTAGGAATTGGATTTGATAAAAATATAAAAGAGAATTTAACATAGGCTCCACTGGAATTGTAGAGGAACATAAATAGTGTTCTGTTAAATAAGGGTCAATGTGAGACGATATTATGGTTTATTCTCAATTTCATCCCAGGTTTTCGTAATCTGCTGCTTGTTCTGATGTCGAAGTGTATGATTGGTGTTGCAATTTATTAGAAATTTGAAACCAGACTAGTTGCAATCTTTTGGAATTCGAAACCAGACTATGTCTGTGAGGTGATGGTTCATAGTTCAACGGTTGTAATTTGTGCTTTTCTGTTTAACTTGCTATTTTACTTTGTGTTACAGTTGGTGTTGATGCTGATGACAAGAGGATTGAGTTATTCATGTCCCAAGTGAGCGGCAAGGACATTACAGAGCTTGTTGCTGCTGGTAGGGAAAAGTTGGCCTCTGTTCCTGCTGGTGGTGCTGCTGGTGTTGCTGTTGCTGCCACTGGTGGCGCTGGTGCTGCTGCTCCAGCTGCCGCTGAGTCTAAGAAAGAGGAGAAAGTCGAAGAGAAAGAAGAATCCGATGATGTAATATTTCTACCTCCTGAATTCATTTATATTGAGTGCATATTAGCATCTTACACTTCATTCCTGGTTTTTCGACTTTTGTATAAGCTGCATTTAAGCACATTTCCCCTCAGCTGACTTTTTTCTTTCAACTTTGTGCAGGACATGGGCTTCAGTCTCTTTGACTAAGTGGGTTAGAAGCATGCCTCTTACATGGAGCCAATTTTTTTCTCGGTTTAGAGTTTTGTGATCATTTTTAGCAGTTTACCCAGAGTGTAGTTAGGGTTTATTATTAGTTGAAACAGTGGAGATTTTGTGAAACAAATTGAATCAAAGAATGCTGGATTTCTCTACTTTTTTGGATCCTCTAATGTAAGTGCTGTATTTTACTTGCTAATTTTAGGTACATTTTGCTGTTTTTTTGGTAAATAATTTGTGAAATTTTACATTCTACTACCACAATACCACATCAACATTAGTAGATAGTAACCATAAAGCCGATGGCCAGCTTAGGGACTGGAATAGAGCTCAATATTAGCTTACTATTTTTAACATTTATATTACGTAGTACATGATTTTACAAAAATATAAAGATAAAACCATTGGTAAATTGTAACTAATAACATATACTTCATTAACTTTGCTTTGACTAACATTTGTGATTTATAGGTATAAAATAACAGTCTTGTAGGATCTTGTTAGATTAATTTCGTGTACTTAATTATAGTTCAATTTTTAGTATTTTTTACAATAATATAATTAAAGATATATTCGGTTGTACTTTTGCATTGGTAAATGTGATAAAAGAAATGTGTTTCTAATTTGGGAGAGGAAATATGTAGTACTTACATATTTTTATGCGGTGTCAATGAACCAGATCAGTGATAATTTGGAACAATTGAATCATTATGTTTCTCGTTAATTATACACAATATAGTTTTTTTTTTTGTTTTTTTTTTTTGACGAGACAATATAGTTTATTTTGTTGCTCGTTGCTAAGCATAAATTAGAGACAATATAGTTTATTTTATTGGTCGTTGCTAAGCACAAATAAGGGACAATCATTATAGTGTAGCTGGCTGCGGAGCGCAAATTACCTAAACTGTGGTCAAGGGATTGAGAAGAGTTCACATAGCAAGGCCAATGATGCGCTCGGTAAGTACCTGTATATTTGATTATTGCAAGATAAAAATGAAAAAGAAAAAAAAAACAAAACAAAAAAAATAACTTAAATATTGATTATAAATGAGATAAAACAAGAATGTCATCTATAAACTTTAATTCATTCTCAATTTTCAAATCTCAATGTCAAATTCACTAGCAAGCTGCAGTATGTACTAACAACTCAAAGAGGCAAACCAAAATTTATTAAGCAGCATATCTCCAGGAGTAAACCACACGGAATAGTGTCTAGCAACGGGGTGTCATATAAACACAACCACCACAATTGGGCTGTAATATATTCATCTTGTTCAGATCTTAGAGGCAAACCCAAGGCCTTCCTTAGACAGCTGGTCCAAGCTCTCAGCTACAGGCTGCACTCTAGCAACCTTAGCGATGGCCTTGTTTTCTTCAGGGGTTCCACTCTCAAGGAATGCTCCAACAACCTTCCCGTCTTTAATCCAGTAAGAACCAAACTTGTGGGATGATGATGCAGGGTCATTATCACCAAAGACGACAGCATCTCCTACATTATCACCATAAAATTGCCATGATAGATCAAAGGAGCGAGAATAGAAGTATGGCAAGTAATCATATTCTTCAATGGACTTGCCCTCCTCGCTAGCTTTGATGGCCTGTAACATAAACATAAATTAATTCACTGAAATCTGTCACAACATAAAATTGTGAGAACGACTGATATATCCATGCCACAAAGCTTATCACCAAGAAGTTAATAATGCATGTACCCAAAAACTCGAAAAAAGGGGAAAAATAGGAATTTCATTATGTGATCAGTTGTCACTTTTTACATAGTGCATAATAAAAAAAAAATATATAATTAAAAAAAAATAAAATAAAATAAAATAAAATAAAAAAATCATAAATCTACTAAGATACCCATTAGAATTTGTTTGGAAATCTATAATAATGCATAGTATGTTAATAAATTCACATGCTATTAACTAATCATCACATTATTGATATTCTGAATAAAATCTAAAGCCACTTGCAATCTCAAGACTCCAGATACATAAGGTTTTCTTTTCCTATAAATATTTTGATATAGAGATGAAGTGGCCATTACATTCACATATTTACACATTTTTTGGTTAAGAGATGAAGTGACCTTTACCTTCACATTTTTTATACACTTTTTGGTAAAGAGATGAAGTGACCTTTACCTTCACACATTGTATACATTTTTTAGTAAAGAGTAGAAGTGACCATTACCTTCACAATTTTCACAATTTAATGCATTTTTTGGTTTAAGAGACAAAGTGAGCATTACCTTCACAGCTTGCTCAGCAGATTTACGGGCATGATCAACATGTTCAACCCTTCTAATATCACCATACAGTTTCATTGGAAAGGTAGCCACATCACCAACAGCATACACATCTGGGACATTTGTTTTAAAGAAGGCATCGGTCTGCAACCAAGAAAATCAGTCAGCCATCACAACAGACAGATGCTTATGCAAGAAAATAACTAAACTAAAAAGGTTACAGGTCAATGATAAGTATTCATGAAAGCAACCAACCTTGATTCCTCCCTTCTCCTCTTGAACCTGCCCCTTGAACAGTGTAGTAAGAGGTCTTCCACCAACACCAACAACCACAATATCAGCATCAAGCACCCTACCATCCTTTAGTTGTACCTCCTTTACCTAAATTATTGACGGATCGTTGTTCAAGGAAGTTATTTACTCACATCATATAGGTGTAAGCCATGTAGCAAAAGACTTGAACAGATGAGTCATGAAACTAGAATCCATACCTCTCCATTATCATTAGAGCCAAATCCAACTGCTACTGTTCCTTTAATAATTTGGATTCCTTTGTTGGTGTAGTAGCCCTCATAAAACTTAGCAATATCAGCAGTAAAGAGACGCGGCACTACAAGAAAGATTTAAGATGAAAGATGAGAACCACTGATCAGCTATCTTTCTGTTTCTTATTGAAGGGTAGGAAAAGGCTCATCATACAAAGTACGGCTACCATAAGATAGGTATTCATGATAAACAATATCTAAGACCTAAAACAGAAAATACTATAGCTCTTAGACTTACTGCACCAGGGTTCTGGGTAAACCATGCAGACATCTAAATTGTTGATTTTCAGTGCTGCGCTAAGCTCCAGACCAATGTAACCCCCACCAACCACAACAGCTTTACCATTCTTCTTAGCTTTAATTGCTTCCACAAGCTTGTCAGCATCATCAATCTCTCTAAGATAAAAGATGTTCTTTGCATCAGCTCCTTTAACGCCAAAATCGGTCAATCTTATAACCTAAAACAATGTCAAACAGTTTATTTAGTATGCAGGTGATAACATAATGTCACCAGTAAGTATGAGTGTCACAGAACTCACTGTAGAACCAGTTGCAATGATCAGATTGTCAAACTTAAAAATGATTCCAGCAGCACTTGTAAGAGACTTTGAAAACAGATCAGCTTTGACAATTTCTGTGCTCAAGACCAACTCGATTCCTGCAGCCATATACATATGATTATGATTCAAGCAAAAGCAAACAGAATTAAAAAAAAAAAAAAAAAAATCCATCAACAAAATGGTCGGTTCAAGAAAAATCAGATAATTTCTTCTTAAAACATGAGAAGTAAATAACGAAAATACAATCCTTTCAGAGATTACAAAAACAGCTAACTTCATGCAAAGTTGAAAGCACAATCATTGAAAAGAAGCTGCTATACCTTTTTCGGTATACCACTCAGGAAGAAGTCGCTCCCCTCCACTTCCAACACAGGTATGGAACCCAGGAAGTCTAGCAGTACCTGTAAAACCCAATTTAAATTGTCAATAGCATGCCATGAAAATTTGTGACAACAATCAGATAACAAAGTAGATCCATTGATCAAACTTAGCCAGTGATAGGCAGTGAAAGTCAGCAATTGTGTAATAGATGCATCAAAGTGTCAATGTGGATACCTTAGGATCTAGTGAAAGTGCATTACAAATAGAGTCCAAAATTAACACCGGTAGAGATAACGCTCCAGTATAGAGAATATAAACTCAAGCAATAACTTAAACTGGACCGACTTATCAGCAAAATTATCATGTAGTTAAATTATTTTTAAGAAATTGCCATGCAGTGAAGTTTTATCTACTCACCTTCTGGAAAGAGGTAAGCCTTGCTGAGAGCAGGGCGTTCGTAAGGAGCCACCTGGAACAGAAAGATAAATCATCAGGTCTTTCTTAAAAGCTGAATTCGCAGGAGTAAACACAGAAAAGAAAGTAATATTGCAGGAGCTACAATGTAATATCATGCAGACTGCAGCAGGAACTACAATAAGAGTCAGAAGCACTTTCAATAACAAGCTGGCCTCACCCCAAAACAACTTTGTAAAGTATATAGACTTTCAGCATAAAAGTTCAGCAAACAAGTGCGACTCACAATAGCTAATATTATCCGATTAAATGATTCATAATAACTTGCTTAAGAGATTTCAAAACAAGAAGTGAGGAAATTGTTAAGAGCAACTTGGATTAAATGACAATATAAAAAGTATTACGAGCATCAAAAGCTAACAAAGATCGAGTTCAGCATACCGCTTCTTTAGAAATGAGGGCTAGTTCTCCTGGTTGAAGACCATGCTTCGAAAACTCTCTAGCAGCATACCCCTGCAAGCACAAAAAAAGCCATCCAACTTCAGAAACAGCAAACATCAATATCCAAATAAAGAGCAATTGCATACACAAATTCATGTATCCTTGAAGAACATAAAACCAAATTTGTGATTCTACTTGTGTACTGGTATACGCTTCAAAGTACTAATCCAATCCAATAGTCATTATTCAGCATGGACTTATCATTTACTTAACATCTGTGTAACTATAACCCAACACAACTGAACAAAAACTCATATTCATTTTCCGAACATTTCCAGCAATAAGTAATGTTCATCAGTATACTTCATATAGCATAATATGGAGTAAACTCATTGATAATACACTAAAGCAAAATATTGATGTTCATGAAAAAACATTATACGGCGCATTTCTGAACTAACACACCCAAGCAAAAAACTTATGTTAATCTGTCTATATAACATAATAAACTCAAACAAGAAGCTGATGTGTATCTCTATACATGATATTTGTGCAAAACTCTAGCATGATACACTTAGCAAAAAACTGATGATCATACTAGTATCTGTGCATCTCTAACACAGTAACATAATACACGAGCAAACAGCTAGGTTCCGGCTGCTTCTCATAGCATTCGCACCACCACACATAAAATTTTCAATAAAAACTTCGTAAATTTCTAGCACAATAATCCAATTTATCCTGATCAATTTTACAGCAAGATTATATCTCTGACAGTGTACAAAATTGACCAGGATCATCAAATTCACAATGAAAATTTCTCTCTTTTGACGAAGCAATCAGTCTCTAACTCTGACTGTACATAAAAATATTCAGTCAAATAAACTTCGTTCCACTTATCATTTTTTAAAATCATACGTTATCTGAACAATCCATTAACATTCTATTGGGATATTGCCTATATGATTACATCATTACTCTCAGATCGAGCATAATCCTTATATCATTCAATATTCATATAAGTTTTATATAACAAATACAGCAAAATTGATCAAATTAATCACAAAATTAACAAATTAATCATACAATAATATACAAAAAATAAATAAAGAGCAGCTGATTCAGATTCAATCAGAAATACAATCTGTTCATTTCAATTTTTGCAATAAACTGCACAAATTATTTAGCTTAAAATGAAATTTGTTAAAAAAAAATTCAATGAGAGAAAAAAAAGGCATACAGCAGCAACACCACCGCCGAGAATGATGTATTTGAAGTGCTTTTCCGCCATGGAAGTTTCCTCGATCGATTGAAACCAAAAAGTTTATTGCAGAAATGAAAATCAGACAGAGGGACAGAAAAGGAGGAGAGAGAGAATGGTAATTGCAGAAAAATGAAGGGATTGGTTGGAGATTTATAAATACTAAAATTGAATGTTATTCAGAATAATCAGGTGATGGGCACTTGTTGACCGTCTGATTAACTTTATAGGATGGTTGTTAGACACGTGGTGCTACACTATCCGTTCGTGTGAATTGATAATAGTCCGTATGTATTTTGCCACAAAGGCGCCTTCCCTGTTTTATGGTAACGGATCATTTATGAACCTCTAGAAACAACCCGTGGATAGATTCGTCATAAACCTCATAGTACTAATACTAATATTGTACGGTGACATTTTAAATTACTCTTATTAGTGCATTAACTTGATAAAATATATTTTTATTATGTTAATAAAATATTATGGTCAAAGTTAATACATAAATTGTGAAAAAAGTTCAACATCTCAGTTATTATGAGACAGAGGAAATATTTACAGAATGAAAATAACTATAATATATGGTTTTTTTTAAGGGAAATTCTCTTTGGTAAACTCGAACTTTTTAATTTTCTCAGTGATAAACGTTAAAAAAACTTATTATCATTGGTAAACCTAAATTTCTTATATTAAGTCAACTATAACATTAATGATAAATTTTAACTAGATAAATACCATAGTTAGTTATTTTTTTTTATTATATTTATTTTAGAAATATTTTAGAAATATTTTTTTATAAAACCCCCCAAAAAAAAAAAACCAAACCCCTAACCTAGCCACCAACACCATTGCTAACGGCCAACCCCCAGCCGGCGACGCCTGAGTTCGACAGAACCCGTTCTCGTTTTGGCTCTGCGCTTCCCCGTCCCGCACCTCCTCTCTTTCCCTTTACCCCGACCCCCACGTCCTCCCATTTTCCCCACCGCCACCCGCCGGGCCCTAATCGCACCCCAAACCACCATGAAAACCAGCGCCCTTCCTTGACGAACCCCCTCCTCTGTGAGCCGACCACGGAAACCCTAAAACCCACCCAAAACCACCAGAAAATCGAAACCCGTTTCCTGGGTTTGGTTTCGAAACCCTAAACGGGTTTGGGTATTTTCTAGTGTTTTGGGGTGGTTTTTAGGGTTTTTGACCGGCAAACAGGGGAGGGGGGTCGTCAGGGAAGGGTGCCGGTTTTGTGGTGGTTAGATTGGTCGGCGGTGGGTGGGGGAAATGGGAAGGGTTGAAAAGGAGAAAAAGAGGAGGTGGGGGCAGGGGAGGCTGGGCGACACTGGCGGGGTTGGGGGAGGTCGGGCGTTGCCAGGGGAGGCCGGCGCACCATCGAAGGTGGAGCTGGGCGCCGGCGTTGGTGGGGGTGGGGGAGAGGTGGCTTGGGTTGATTGGAAATGGGTTACTTTTTTTTAATTAAAAAAATAAAAAACTAACTATAGTTAAGGATTTTTATTAAAATAACACTCATCAATGGTAATCAATAATTTAGGTTTACCAATGATAATAAGTTTTTTTAACGTTTACCATTGAGAAAATTAAAAAGTTCGAGTTTACCAAAGAAAATTTCCCTTTTTTTTAAGGAAAACGTAGATAAGTGCTTTATTTTAACATTATCCATGAGTACATTGGCAATCACACAAGCAACGTGGTTACCAATGTACTCATGGATAATGTTAAAATAAAGCACTTATCTACGTTTTCCTTAAAAAAAAGGGAAATTTTCTTTGGTAAACTCGAACTTTTTAATTTTATCAGTGGTAAACGTTAAAAAAACTTATTATCATTGGTAAACCTAAATTATTGATTACCATTGATAAGTGTTATTTTAATAAAAATCCTTAACTACAGTTAGTTTTTTTTTTAATTCAAAAAAAAAAGTAACCCATTTGTGGCAATGTTGTTCAACACCGAAAGACACTAACCTAGCAAGATGGTGCGCTACAAAATCGCCCTCTCTACTTACATGAGACTAGTAGAATATATGTAGTTTATACCTAATACTTAACTAGGTTAAACCCCGTGCAATAGATGCACATTTGTTAAATAATTATAATGAAAATCAAATTATAAAAACGATATAAAAATGTAAGGAATTGACACACCAATTATTCAAGTATGAAGTATATATCCCGTCAAAAAAGTATGAAGTATATAACAACTATAATAGTTATAATAAGCACTTTAATATTTTAGAAAGTTTACTTTAAATTTTATGTAAAACAATTGTCATTATTTAAATACAATTCTCCGTTATGGTAATAATACTTTATTTTAAGCTAATATTCTTAGAGGGAAAATATTTAATATGACGCTGCCAAATGTCCCTTTTATTCGCCTTTAATAATATGTAATAGATAGATACCTACATGTATGTAATAACACAATTTTTTTTTATTATTATTATTTTTTTTATTTACAGAATAACACAAATTACAAGTGTAAATATCTCTACTCCTATCGTTTGTCCTTAACTCCTTAAGCCTCTCTTTAAAAAAAAAGCCTACTCATTTACTAAAGGAATTGGAAGTCCTTCAAATGTTTTTTTTTATTTTATTTTTTATTTTTTTTAATACTCTCTCCGTCCCTTTTTTTTTGCCCCATTGCCAAATTTTTGGGTCAAATTTTGAAAATTTTGATCATAAATTACCGTTGATTTATTAAAGATAATATAGTCATGAGTGGGGTCTTGTTAGATTCGTTTCATTGTACATTTTATTAATATCACGTTTTTATAATTTTTACGTGTATGAAAATAAAGATATAGACGTTTTAAGATACGTCTTGAAAATCGTACACATTCAATTAGGGCAAAAAAATAGGGACAGAGGAGGTATAACAACTTCTCCTTCTTAATTCTATTTTAAGAATTACTGATGCACTGGCATATTCAGTGTGAAAGTGATGACGTAATCGGTGATGACACAACTCATTATAACATTAATAAAATTTAAATGCTCCTGCCTTACCCTTGGCGAATGTTCATGTGGTTGACTTCTGAGACCAACACCTTGGGGAGTTCATGGCATCTTCAGCGTGTTCAGACTAGCCGGTATATGTGAGTCAAGGTAAGTTCCTACTTCCCCTTTTTATTTCGTATATTTTAGTTATTCAAGATATAATTTCACATATTATTATGAGCACAAATTCTTATATGTGGTTAGTTGGTGTGCCCATCTTACATTATAATTAAGTAATGGGGGTTACCTTGACAGATATTGGAATACCGTAATGAGAAAATTGGGTTACTTATTTTTTTTTTTAATTAATTGATGTTACTCGTATAATAAATTAGAGTTGCTATATGATCAAATTAAGGTTATTCACATGATTACTTGAGATTGCTCATATTAACGAATAAATAGAATAGTGAATATTTTTATAAACAAATGTGATCACACCATTGTAGCTAGCCACACAAGACATACTGTATTATGAAGTATATTCAATTATTAATAAGTAAAAACTTTTTTTAAAAAAAAAATTAAAAATTTCCTTTATTTTCTTAAAGTGTTACACTTTCTAACAATATATAGCTAGATATAAAGTGTGAACCTTTTATGCTTTTTCTAAAACTCAAAACAAAGATTGTTTCTAGTTTAACATTTATGTACAACCTCCGTCCCTTATTTACATGCTTACTTCTCATTTTACACGAGAATTAAGGAACTTAAAAGCCATGATAGGGAAGTACAAATATGCATGTGGTTAGAGAGAGATAGAGAGAAAGAAAAGGTAGTTGACTACTGGGTAATTATTAAAGAGATGGAAAGAGAAAGTGTTAAAAAAAGATGTCAAAAGTACACACACACAAAAAAAAAAAAAAATGACAACTCATAAAAAGAGGGAATATTGTCAAAAAGTACATTATTAAAATAGAAATAGGCATGTAATTTTAAAACCCCTAAAAAGAAAAGTAGGCATGTAAATAAGGGACGGAGGGAGTAAATGGACTATTTTATTTGCGTTTGTGGTGATAGATATACTACCTCCATTCTTTTATGGAAATTTTGTAAAAAACCTCCTTGTAAAAGCATTTTTTTATTTTTATTTTTATTTTTTGTAAGTCCTTAATCAAAATATTTTTTTTTGCGAAGTCGTACCTTTATGTCGGAAAATGGGGTTTGACCCTATTTTTTGGCGTTGACAATCACAATCCACCCACGAAACCGCCCTGCCACAGCCCCACCCACAAAACCACCCTTTCACGGCATTGAGCACCCTAAACCCACCCCTTTTATGGTGTTGACTAGGGATGATAATGGATCTGGACCCAACCCGGATCCGTGGATCCAGATCCGTTTTTTATGGATATGGATCCTCAAAATTTAGACCCGACGGATCCAGGTCCTTTGTAAAAAAAACGGATTTGGATCCGGGTCTAACTCTTAGACCCGGATCCAGATCCATTTACCCGTTTTTAATTTATAAGAAAACCAATTTTTGTTATTTATACGACCCAACACTACTAGTCTCAAGTCTCAAAGCCACTCTAACGCTTTGTTTGGATAGCAAATAAGGAAGGAAAGGAAGGGGAGAGAAATAGGAGGAAAGGAAGGGGAAAGAAAGGGAGGAGGAGGTGAACTCCATTTTCCCTCCAAATCTCTCCAATTTTGGAGGGATTATGCTTATTAAAGAGAGAGGGAAAATGGATCCCTCCCTCTCCTTTCCCTTCCTTACCTCAATCCTTTACCCAAACAAGAGAGTCTGTCCCCCTCCTTTTCCTCCCATTTCCTTCTATCCAAATAAAGTGTAACTCTCCAAGTAATTCTATCTTTCTCTCTCCCAACTAAACCCTAACTTTCTCTCTCTACCCCTAATTAAAGTCAGCGAGCAACCTCCATTCAAGTCGGCAAGTGAACCTCGAGCAACCTTAATTCTAGTCAGCAAGCGAACCAAGTAGCTTCTCCGAGCGCGAGTGAACATTCAATAAGTTTTTGTGTTTCAGCGCCATTCGGGTGGTATTTGGAGGAGAAAATGATGTTAATGGTATTTAAAAACCCAATCTTGCTTTCATATAGTATTGAAAGTCAAAACTCTAAAGTTTGTTTCTAGATCATCCACATATATGCATATATGAGTATGTAAATTCATTTATGACGAATTGCGTCTTTTATGTAGATGAGATTTCTGGGTTGTTTGGCTAACATTTCGTTTTTTTTTTTTTTTTTTTTAAATATTTATCGAATAACTATAGACTTGACTATAAGTCTATAACAGATCTGAATTGTTTACATTATTCTCAAGTATTGTTTTGCTTTCTACAAATGCATAATATTGTATAACTTTAATTTAATTTAATTATTCAACTTAATCATCTCGACAAAAGCTTGAAGTAAATTTTTTCGGCTCGAACATTATATTTGTCGCAAAAAATTTGGCAAAATGTGTAGGATCCGTTTTGGATTTGGATCCGGTGGATCCGTCGGATTGGGATCTGAATCTCTACTTTTTGGACCCGATGGATCTGGATCCATGGTAGAAAAACGGATCTGGATCCGAGTCCATCTGGACCCAGTCCAGATCTGACCCATTGCCATCTCTAGTGTTGACCATCCTAAACCCACCTCTTTCACGACGTTGACCACCTTAAACCCTCCTCTACAGCCCCAACCACCCCTCACCCCTCCACTATCCGCCTCGGCACCCCAATTCTCACTCCCAGACCTCACTCCTCCCCTTTCCCCACCCCTACTCCCTTTCCTCCACCACGATTACCCATCCCTCCATTTTTCGCCCGCCCTTGAACACCCACCTCAAAACGACCCCCACCTCTTCCTCCACCCCTAGCCGCGCCCTCCAAACCCTAAATTAACACTCAAACCACCCTGAACCCTAAATTTGCGAGGTGGTGGAAAGGAGGGAGTTTGATTTTCGTTAGTGGGTTCGAAGAGGAGATGCGGTTTCGTGGGTGGGGTTGGGGTGGTCAACGCTGGAAAATAGGGTCAAACCTCATTTTCCGGCATAAAGGTATGACTTCGCAAAAATTTTTTTAATTAAGGTTTGACTTTGCAAAAAATAAAATAAAATTATAAGGAGGTTTTTTTTTTTAAAAAAAATGTTTTATAAGGAGGTTTTTTTTTTACAAAATTTACTTCTTTTATATCATACTCACTTTAGGTATGTAATATTAGACAACCACTTCTCATCTCCTTCCTCTTCTTTTTTTTCAAAACCCGAGCCTCCATAAGGGAATTATATAGGGAATTTCATCAGTTTTATTAGTAGAAACTCCCAATATGTAAGAGCATCACCAACCTATCTCGGTCTCACTAACTAGTAGCAAGGATAAGAATAGGTCGAACCCATAAGAGGCATTGCATCATCCACTAAATGCTATCATTTAAACAAGCTAGATTGATTTAAGTAATTTTTGGTTTGATTTTTATCTATCAACTACTAATTCAAGTCAATTAAGGTCTATGGAAGGGAATTACAATATTAAGAAGGTCTAAGGCATGGCTTACACCACTCAATTTTATCTCAAAAACAAAAGTACCATGCAAGACATAGCATTAATGGGAAATAAATTAGGGAAAATCATCCAGGACACCTAATTACTCTCTTGATCGAGTTAGAAGGAATAACTTAAAACATGAAAATGCAGCTTATTCTCATGATTACAAAGCATAATATCAAGTGTTAAAACACAATAATGATGATAAAACTGAGAAAATATGAGAATATTTGCCGTGCCTTTCTCATTGATTAAACATCAATATATATACAAGAGTATACTAGGGTTAAGGCTAAGGATATATTGATAAAAATACAAACTAATAATATACACTAGATTATTTACATAATCTAACACACCCCCGCAGTCGAAACGGGAGGACTATGAAAGTTGAGACTGTCCTGAAAATCATTAAATAAAATCTTAGGCAGACCTTTGCTAAAAATGTCTGCAATCTGGTAATAACGGGAAAGCACATGTAGGACACGAACTTCGCTCCTCTGAACTTTTTCACGAACAAAGTGTATGTCCATCTCAATATGTTTAGTGCGCTGATGTTGAAACGGATTATTGGAAAGATAGATGGCACTAGCATTGTCAGATAAACCAGTGTTGCTTTCGAAATAGGACATCGGAGCTCAAGCAACAAATTTCGAACCCAACAAGATTCAGAAACAACATTGGCAACCCCTTTGTACTCTGCTTCAGCACTTGACTTTGACAAAGTGGGTTGACTTTTGGAAGACCAAGAAATCAGGTTGTCACCATGGAAAACATAATACCCTGATGTAGACCGACGAGTGTCCGGACACCCGCCCCAATCGGCATCCATGTAGGAGAGAATAGAGGAAATGAATGACTTATATAAATGCAAACCAAAATCAGTCGTACCTTGGATGTAACGAAGTATGCGTTTCAATGCATCCATGTGTTCCACGCGAGGGGCGTGCATAAACAAATAAACTTGCTGCACCACATAAGAGATATCAGGTCGAGTGAATGTCAAGTACTGCAAAGCACCACAAAGACGACGATAAGAAATAGGATCATCATACGGAGCACCAGAATGAGTACTTAACTTCCCTTTGGAATCAACTGGAGTAGTAGATGGTTTGCAATTAACCATGCCTGCTTTTTCAATAATTTCTTGAGCGTGTTTCTTTTGAGACAAAAATAATCCATTTTTATCTCGAGAGACAGCAATACTAAAAGAGTAGCTCAATTTACCCAAATCTTTCATTGCAAATTCATAGCTAAGCTGTGAAATCACATGAAGGCGGAACAGTGGCGGAGCCAGAAATTTCAAATTTGGGGAACAAATGAACATCGCTTAGTTTGACAAAAATGTTGGAACAAACGGATACTTAACTAGTTATAGTTTTACGGCTCAAAAAATCCAAAATACGGAGTTCTACTTGATTAAAATACCAACATCATATACCAAATTTTCCTCCATAAACGTATTAGATTATGGGTTTAGAATATTTGAAAAATTCGACCATTAAATTATATAACTAATTAAATGTAATATTTGTCATAATTGATCCTTTTCACAATCATAATTTGGATACCTGTTCATGCAAAATTACAATTAAAATTATTCAAATAAGTTTATATATAATTGTTAAGAAAAAAAATGAAGTAATGCTATCTTATACATTAAAAAAAAATAGAATTAGAAAAAAAAAAAAAAAAGCTAAATGTCTGCAACAAGAATTGAACTTCGGTGGCTTGATTAATTTGTGATTAATTTGCTCATCTCAAATACCAAGTAGGCGACGACCACTTGTTTTCAAAATGTTGCAGGTTTTAATTTTGTATTCAACTACTTATTCAAAAATAAAAGCTTAAATGAACTCACAGGGAGGTTTGATCCCGCGTCCATAAGCTACTATAAGTGATACTTGACCACTGAACCGTTTGGATTGATATCAACCCTTATACACAAAATTATGAATATAAACTAATTTTTGTTTTTTTAAAAAGTGAGGGGACTGCTGTCCCCCCTTGTCCTCACCTAGCACCGCCTCTGCGGCGGAAAGACTCTGAAGAGGCAGTAAGGACAATATCGTTAATGTCGAGGAGAATGTAAGAAGTAGCATTACCATGGTGGTAAATAAACAATGATCGAGTTATCAGATTAGTTGTGAATAAAACCAATAGTAGCCACAAAATCTACAAAACGTTGATACCAGGCACGGGGTGCCTGTTTTAGACCACTTAGAGACTTCCGGAAAAGGCAGACATGATCGGGTCAGGCAGGATCTTTAACGGTTGATACATGTACACAGCTTCATTCAAGTTATCATGTCGGGTCAAGCATTCTTGACATCTGATCTAATTGATGATGGGCCATGATTTAGATAATGCAATGCTGAGAACCACCCGAATAGTTGTCGGTTTAACAACCTGACTAAATGTCTCATCACAATCAATCCTGTAATACCTTGGAAATTTCCTTCTTTTAAAATACATTTTTTACTCTAAATAAAATCTCATTTTAGGAAATAACCAAAATATTACCACCACCGTGGTCACGGCTAAGGCTATTTCAAAGTCACACAGTGGAAGTCTAAATTAAAAACCAACTTTTAAAAATAAATAACTTGAGTTCACAACCTCAAAACATAAGTAAATTAAAGCGTTCACAAATTGGAACCAATATGAATATTGCCCTTTAAAAGCAAGTTTAAAATAAATCATAACAACGTTAGTCCATGAATAATAAAATCAACAATTCAAATATAAACTAAGAAAGCATAACAAGTAACTCTATGCACTCATTCCCTTCATGCTTCAAGTACCTGTAACTTTCTCCTTATTTCAACCCCTCTACTTACCATATAAATGGGTTATAGTAGAGCCAATCCAAAGGAAAGCCAAACACAAACACAAAAGTACGAATCAGCAAAAGCTGAATACATATGCACTTATAAAACTAGCACACTAACATGATCATCCTAGCAATAATATTAAAACATGCTCGCCATACAATTCACAAGTCAACTTACCTTTGACTCATAACTAGCAATATTAATTATTAATATAGCTTTGGATTACGCATCTAACGGGGTTCCTTCCTTAAATAGCCCTTTTAAAATATTGAGCTTCCAATTAGGGAGCTACCCCAATTGGCACCTACTATGTCACACTTGTGACAGAATTCCAGCGCATTAATAATAAAAGAAAGTACAACATCCTGTACCCTTGTAGAAGCTATGGTTAAATATAAAACCCCATAACTCCCCCTATATGTTCAAATTCCAGGTGTATATACTATTTGGTGCGTATCCTCTTACACTTTACGTGATTTACCAATTTAACATGTGATGACTCCAACCAATCAATCAAGAATAAACATAACAATCATCAACATACACTTCCATTTCATTCTTGAATCAATTAGTGAGCACATACTATTTGTTTTAATTAAGGTTCCTTGCCTAATTTTATGCAAAAGATTGCACTATTACTACCTTGGTGCATAAAATACACTAATAAACTTTCTTGACTCAATCTCAACTTAGATGAGTGAGTAAATAAATAAACTAACTTCTTGACTTAACTCCAATAATGTATGGGTGAGAAATAAAATTATGAATCATGCTCAATAATTATAATCTTAGCTCTTTTAAACATAGATAAGCCTTGCTTATTAATTTCATGCTTTCTTGATACTTTAAAATAAAACATACTTCCATGATTCATACATAAACAACTTGTATCATGCCTCAAATAACATATTCACATGCTTGCATAATAATTCATGATCAACCAACATCAAATCCAAGCATTTAATCAACCAAACATGCTACTAAATCATCACTTACTACATACTTTGCATTCCTAGCATGATATTACGCATACACAATCACTTTTACGCGCATACATACCTTGAATAATGCCTAAACTCGGCCACACTCCTAGCTCGAAACTTCCTATAAATATAAATACATAATCATAATTAATCCACTATTCTTACAAATTTCAAGCAACTATTATATTTATTAAACCTCACTAATTAACCTAATTAATGGTTTAAAAGCCTTAAAACCTTTTCTTTAAGTGGGTACTTAAAACTCTTTCAAAAAGACTTAGTTTTCATAACTTATATAAAATTCACGCATACTTATTTAATATAAAACATCACTAATAAACCAGAAAATCATATTTAAATCATTACAAACCTTTTCCCTTTTATGCGTAATCAAAACCTAACATAATAATTAAAAAGTAGTGAGTATAGTTAAATTCTAGCATTCATTGAGGGCTTAAAACTCATTTAAAACATGTTCTAATCATTAATTTAACAACCACAACAACCTAGAATTAAACCCTAATCATAAACATTAAATTCCTAAATTCTAGGGTTTGTAAATTGGGGTTTTAATCAAATTAAAATCTGAAAATATTAATAATAAATTAACAGTATCAAATACCCAAAAAAAATCAAAATATAATTAAAATCATGCTTTAAATTAATTAAACAAGCTTAGAAATTAAAATAGGAGAAAAGAGATTTTTTTTCTTTATACCGAAACCGCACAAGAGGAGAGAGAGAGAGAGGAGGGGACGGCCATCGGTGCTGGTGGCTGCCGCTGGTCGTCGGCGTGACTGGCGGCCGGTGGTGGTCGCCGGTTGTCGACCGTGAGAAAAGGAAGAGAGAAAGGTGCGGAAAGAGAGGAAAAAGAGAGAAAAAAAAGAGAGAAAAAGTTTGGGTCTTTTGAGAAATCTGACAAATGGTTTTTGAGTGTGAAATCATTGAGTTTTTGGGGTATTTATATCCTCTTTTAAAAACAAAAAAATTTATTTACACATTATCATTATTAATCCTATTCCCATTTGAAATCTTCTTTGGGGCTAACTTGTTGGGCCCCTTAAAAACTCTTTTATTCCCAATAAGCTAGTCCAATACTTTGAGTGATGTTGACCCAATTTAAATACTTTATTGCCCTAATTAATAACTCATATTATTTTATACACACTTATTTTATAATCAAATAATTAATTTATTTAAAAAGAAATGAATCATTTTAATTAATATATATACATAATATTATAAAAATACGGAGTATTACAGTCTACCCCCCTTAAAAGAAGTTTCTTCCTCGAAACTTGAGCACAAAAAAAGGTAAAACTCTTGTTTAAAATTTCACTTTTTCACTCACTTAACAAAAATTTTCTCTTAACACTCATAGATACTGTACTTTTTGTAACCTTTCTTGTGACTTTCTTTCTAAAATTTGTATAAGATTGTGCAAAATATACTGAAAATGCACAAAAATGCTTGAAATGAAGGTAAAAAAACGCGAAATTCTACCGCATTCTACGCCCTCTAAAGAAAACGAGTTACGACCTCGTAACTCAACTAACCTCAAACAATTCTAGGTACTTCTTTCTCATTTCATCCTCGGCTTCCCATGTCGCTTCCTCAGTTTCTTGATTCGACCATAAAACCTTTACTATCTTTACATCTTTCTTGCGTGTACTACACACTTTAGTATCAAGGATCTTTACAGGTCTTTCCTCATAAGTTAGACTTTGATCTAGTTCTACGGTTTCAGGTTGCAATACATGTGACTTATCTGGGATGTATCTTCTCAATTGAGAAACGTGAAACACATCATGTACCTTACTAAGGTCCATAGGCAATGCCAATCTATAAGCTACTTTTCCTATCCTTTGCAAAATCTCATACGGTCTAATGTATTTTGGACTCAATTTCCCCTTCTTTCCGAATCTCATGACTCCTTTCATTGGTGATACCTTATAATCACTACAAAAAAAATGTCCATATAGAAACGAAATTCTAGCGACAGAATTCAATTCGTTTCTAAATTAGAGACGGAATTAAAAAAATCCGTCTTTAAATTAGAAACAGATTTTTTTTCCGTTGCTAAATTAGAAACGGTTTTTATTTTTTTTTTTCGTTGCTAAATTTAGAGACGGATTTTTTTTTCCATTGCTAAATTAGAGACGGTTTTTTTTTTTCCTTTGCTAAATTAGAGACAGATTTTTTATTTTTTTTTTTCGTTGCTGATATGAGCGACAGATTCTTAATTCCGTCTGTAAATGTATATTATTACTTTTGAGAGGAATTATGTAAACTAGAGACAAATTTTCTAAACTAGAAACGAATTTTCAAATCCGTCTCTAAACTATAGACGGATTTTAAATTCCGTCTCTAATATTTCTTTCACTTATTATCAATTATGTGCGTAGAAGTAAACAAATAATATTTGGTATAGTTGGTAAGAGTTTCACTATGTGACTTTGAGGTCACGGGTTCGACTCCTAGCAATCCCAATTCTTGAGATTGGGGATTCAAGGAGCCTTACATGCAAAGCCGAGTTGGGTTGACCTGAGTGAGGTCAAACTGAATAGCAGCTATTTTTAGAGCCAAAATATTTTTTTCAGTTGTTAAATTTAGAGACGGATTTTATTTTCCGTTGCTGATAAGAGCGACGGATTTTTTTTTCCATTGCTAAATTTAGCGACAGATTTTTTTTTCCGTTGCTGATTTAGCTAGCTATGTCCAGCAACGATTTTTTTTTTCCGTTGCTAAATTTAGAGACGAAATTTTTTTTGTTGCTAAATGTAGCGACAGATTATTTTTTCCCGTCTTTAAATCCAGCTAGCGACAAGGTTTTACCAACGGAGTGATTCTGTTGATATATCCGTAGCTAGCTATGTCCAACGACGGATTTTTAGAAATTAGCAACGGATTTTACCTGTCGCTAAAAGGCCAAATTTCTGTAGTTAAGCAATACTTTGTCACCAACTTGGAATTCCTTTTCCCTATACTTCAAATCTGCGTAACTCTTTTACCTGTGTAGGGAATTTTTCAACCCCGCCCTACTGTGGTGTCATGTTTTTAAGTATGGTGGCGCTCCAAGGAAAAGAAGCTAGATAAAAAGAGTCGCCAACAAGTTTTAGGAACTTGTAAACCGTTCACGAGTGTGAAGGTTACACCCCATTCATAATCATAGAGATTGCTAAATCCATAGTGGTTCAAAACCATGATTAGATGTTTGGGGATGATGGTACGAATTTGACCTAAAGAGGTTAAACCCGCTCTAATAGGCCTCTACTTGATTCTTTTGATATTCATGTGCGCTTTTCGATCAACATACACACATCAAATTAATCCTAAACCTGTTTAATATACATTGGTTGATTACTAATGCGCAATCAAATCTAATGTTGGTGATCATTTGAATTAAAATCATATTAAGCCTAAATCAAATTATTAGTTATCTTATTAGGCGTGGTTTCAAGTACAAATTCCCTTAAAACCTGTAAGAAAGGGCGTGATCAAGCAATAACAATAAATCATCGATAATCAAGCAACATATGATTAATACAACAATCATCATCATAAGAAAATCATCAAAACATCGTTAGTAGTAAGATCCTAGGCATGATACTAAACGGATTAATAACAAACCCTAGCATGTCACTAATAACAAAATCAAAGCATTATCCTAAACATGATACTAGAAATCAAAATAACATCCTAAGCATGACACTAGGAATAATTAACATAACATTATAAGCATGATTTCTACTCAAATGAATGGTTAAGTAATTAAATTACTTACTTTGATGGCTCAACCTTCTTGCTATTAAAATGATACACACGTTAGTAAACTTCAAGAAGGTTAAATCAATAAAGTAAATACGAATTGAAATATAGATTTAGGACCAAACCCTCAGAACTATCAACCTTTCACGTCGAGGTCGAAGGAAACATCGAGTATGGCTTGGAGTATTCGAATAATCACGCAAAGGAAGTATCACTACCATAAAAACATGGAAAGAAACCCCCTAAAATTGGCCTAAGAAACCACTTTAGAGCGGGTCTTAAGCTCAATGGTGTCTTAGGTTAAGAAACCCCTTTTTTCAAGGGGTTTGTTTGCTCAACTTAAGAAACTCCTTTTTGGGAGAAAGGGTTTCTTAAACGTGTCTGATTTGATTTATTAAAAGCATTAAAGAAATCCCTTATTTTCGGAAAAGGGGTTTCGTAAAATATACTTAAAAGACCGCTATTTTATAGAGGGGGTCTATTTGATTTGTTTTTAATTTAAAAAAAATTATATTGCAATATAATTATCGAATACATACTTCGTATATACGATAGCTATACCACAATAAATTTTAAAAAAATTTCACATCGAAAATAATGCACTAAAATATTCATCCACAAATATGTAAAATTCTTACACCATTATTATATACTATAAAGTTAATTACATAACGAATAACATTTAGTCATTTACAATAGCTAGTCATCTAAAAACTCAATAGAAATTACAATTAATATCACTAAATAGAATTGATATAGCTTCCATTCATCTTTTAGGATCTCCTTTGTAAATGAATATGCAAAAAAATTCACCAAGTTAATAAATCAAAGGTTACAACAAATAAAAAGAGATAAATAACCAAACTTCATAATATAATTGAAAAAAGAAAATTTGTTAAAAAAAAAAATCACATATCAAAATAAAATAGGCATGCAGATCGGAGTAGTAGAGTATATGAATCATATGAAAAAACAGAAATGAAATTAAATTCAAAACTAAAAACAAAAAAAATAAAATAAAATAAAATAGTTCAAAATAATTAGTCACAGATCTACATCCAAAATGATTCAAAAAAATATTAAAAAAAACATGAACGACAAAAAAAAAAAAAAACCCATGAATCTTTAAATAAAATTAAAAAAAAAAATTCAAAAACACAATTTTTTTTTTTGACAAGAAAAACACAATTCTTAATAGATCTAATACGAAGCTTATTATGAACACCATTTAAAAAAAACTAAAAATGAAAACCAAATATAAAAAACGAAGTTTAAAAATCTAGGCCATATTGTGAGGAGGGTGTGCCCATCGTAGGGTATCCTTTTCCTCTATGCTCATGGCCCTTTAAAAGCCTAGAACTTTATACTTTATAGGGTGTGTTAGGATTTGAATTCTTGATTGTTTGGGGTACCTTGAATTAGAGTTGATCATATCATTACGCTTTTTTGTAAGAAACTAATAAGGAGTCGCCAATGAGTTTTAGGAAAACTCATAAACATCGTTTATGCCTTTCTCCCAAGTAGGTTCAAGAGATATTTAGCATGAATCATAAGTTTACACATGCCTAAATTGGTCTACTTGTACCAGAAATGAGTTCGGGAGCGAGGGTACTAAGATAACGTTCCCTTTAGGGGGAAATTGCTATTCTAGCCCAAGTACGACCTCTACTAGCTCTTCCTTTTTCACAATTTCATCACCAAAAAATATATGCAACGTGATACCTAAAACTAAGTTAGTTGATTTTATTTACACGCGTCAATCACATAAAGATTAAATTGCAACGAATGTCGTTATTCTTTGTTATTCAAATTCGTGAAAAGAACAAGAAATAAATAATATTCGCCTTGTTTTAAGTGATAAAACAACAATTAATTATTCAAATTCTAGTCTTGATTAACGCAAGAATACTATGTGAAATTAATTAATTAAAGTTTATTTTAGGTGATCAAACAACACTAATTAGTTGATTGAAGTTATTAAAACAAGAAAAGAAAAGTGATTTATCTAAGTGCTTAGGAAACTAGCATTCTCCTTTGTTTGCTAGATCTTTGTTTTGGATGTTTATGGACCTTCCTTCTTCTTCGTATTTCCAAGGCTTCAATGAAATCAATTAGGGTTGGAGAGTATTTGGGAAGAGAGGAGAAAATTAGTATGATAGTAAGAGGGTTTGAGAGATTAGGGATTTCACAATGCTAGGGTTTTAATTCTGATTTTTCTGTTGTGATTAGGGCTAACGAAGACCCCTATTTATAGGCGTAGAAATCTAGGTTTAGGGTTTTAGAGTCGCGGTGTCAGGTGGCGCGCACAACTCTCAGAGTCGCGTTTGGATGCCGAGCGCAACTCGAAGACTTTGAGAGTTGCGCGCGGTGCGGTTTGCCTTATACAAAAACGTGTTTTTATAACTTCCATAACTTTTGATTGAAAAGTCGGATTAAGAAAAATAAGATATCATTGGAAATCTTTGAATATCTATTTTCCAATGCCGTTAGAATTAGGTTAAAATATGTTATGTATCAAAAGATATGACTGTTTGAGGGCAAGGGTTTCGGTTTTAGGGCCCGGTTAGTATTTTGATGGTAACTTCTTCGTTTTAACTCGGAATTGGGCTTATAATGTACCGTTGGAAAGCGCTTTGAAAGGGATATCCATATGTATAGGCCTTGTATGGATATTGGGTGGTTAAATGTTCTGGTTGGTTTGTTTTTCTACAATGCAAGATCTATTTGATCCAATCATCGCATTTGATGCATTTAGGTCCGTTATTAATCAAGTTTAAACATGTATGAGCATGTTTTAGGCCTAATTATTAATTAGAATAGGCACTAAGATAATTTGGTCTCAAATACAGATTCTAACTTACTTCATAATGCATTTCAGAGTGCATAAAACTTCAGCTTTGACCTAGCATGAAGAACGAGTTTTTGTAACATCATCGTACTTCCCGTCGGAACAGGAGGCCAAAAGTAGGTGTCTACACATATAAGAAATGAAAAAAATCTAAAAAAAAAATAAGAAATATATAATGTGATAGCAGAATATTGAGAATAAAACATAAACTAGATCATATCTTTAAAAATTGTAAACTAAAAGGGAAAAAAATAATACTAAAACAACAAAACAAGACATTTAAATGAAATTGTATAAAAAAATTCGTTAAAAACAATAATTTAA